CTCCTGGCCTTACTACTAGGAGCAAGGACGCTACTAGGAACAAGTGCATCGCTTCTGCCTTACTAGTAGTAACAAGAAACTACTAGGGGCTCCTGGCCTTACTAGGAGCAAGGGCGCTATTATGAACAAAGGGCATCGCTACTAGTATCTTCTTGCTACTAGTAGTAAGGCGCCTTGCTACTAGTAGCGTCTTGCTCCTAGTAGCGATGCCCTTTGTTCCTATAGATCTTTATGTTCAAAAGGAAAAGATCCCAATAAGTCAGGGTTAGATTGGTCCAACAAAAGAACAGAAACGACAACGCATGTCACTCCTCACATTGACAGGCCAGGACTTCACCCAAAAACGCTTGCGCCTCACATCTCTTGACCGCCTTGACTAAGAAACGAGTGGAAGGTGTTGCAGCGGTATTTGTATGGAGGAAGCTCGTAAGGCCACGAACCAACGACTTTAGCATCGCCCGCGCTAGCAGTTCCTTTTTCAGCCTCGAGCTTTTCTGTCCTGGAGAACATGTCGACTGAACCTTTCGGAATTGGGCCCAACATCTCTTTTCCTTACTAGGAGCGATCGGACGCTACTAGGAACAAGTGCATCGCTTCTAGTAACAAGTGCCTTACTAGTAGTAACAAGAAGCTACTAGTAACAAGAAGCTGTCATAACGCTGTTCTCTATTTTTTGAAAGCATACTCCCTCATTCCGTCTTGACGAACTCACGGAATGGACCCAGAGTGGAGTGCCTTTCACTTCCTCTTTGGTTCACTTTTTTAAAAAGAAACGATCTAAGGAAAAACGGAAAACACATGGCCTAACAAAACACATCAAGTCTAAAGCACAAAGTCAGACTTCAGACTTAGATTGGATTGTAAAATGTAGGACTTGTAGGACTTCTGCTATTTTTGCCGAGAATCTCTAGCGTAGGGCCAAGAGACTTCTCTCCCGCTTCAATTGTTTGCACCGTTGGCACCTGGTGCAACGTAGCACGTGTAAGGCCTTGTCACCCCCTTTCTCAAGAACCCAAGAAAAAGAAGGGTTCGAAAGAAAAGAAACAAACCAACGTCCTAGGACGCTACTAGGAGCAAGGACGCTACGAACGGGGCTCCAGGCCTTACTAGGAGTGATCGGACGCAATTAGGAGCAATTGGCATCGCTACTAGTAACAAGTGCCTTACTAGTAGTAACAAGAAGCTATTAATTTAGATTTGTTTTTATTTAATTCTAATAGCTTTTTGTTACTACTAGTAAGGCACCTGTTACTACTAGCGTGGCACTTGTTCTCAAAACAACACTTCAGCAAAGGTCGTTGCGGCCGGACTTTGGACCTCGACCATGGAGATCGGCCGGCGCCGCAACGGGACATGTTTCACCAGTAAGGCTTCCAAGTCGGTGATTCGTGCCTGAAATGAGGCGGAAACAAGAAGTGCATCGCTTCTAGTAACAAGTGCCTTACTACTTGTAACAAGAAGCTATTAGGAACAAGAATACATTAGAAAACAATAAGCTACTAGGAACAAGTGCATCGCTTCTAGTAACAAGTGCCTTACTACTAGTAACAAGAAGCTATTAGGAACAAGAATAAATTAGAAAACAATAAGCTACTAGGAACAAGTGCGTCGCTTCTAGTAACAAGTGCCTTACTAGTAGTAGCAAGAAGCTATTAGGAACAAGAATAAATTAGAAAACAATAAGCTACTAGGAACAAGTGCGTCGCTTCTAGTAACAAGTGCCTTACTAGTAGTAACAATGTTTGCTATTAGAAATAAATCAATTAATAGCTTCTTGTTACTACTAGCGTGGCATTTGATACTACTAGCGTGGCACCTGTTACTACTAGCGTGGCACCTGTTACTACTAGCGTGGCACTTGTTACTACTAGGCCTGAAATGAGGTCTCAAGTCTCGAAAGGAACAAGGACACTACTAGGAACACAGGGCATCGCTACGAACGGAGCGATCGGACGCTACGAACGGGGCTCCTGGCCTTACTAGGAACAAGGTTCGCTACTAGGTAAACCAATGCTAAGAAAGTAAAAGTGAAACCCTTTCAAAGACAAAGTAAACGACACTTTTCAATTTGCTTTTCAGCTTCTTTCAGGAACGAACGAAAAGTAGAGCGGCTGCGGCGCCTCTGTGTCAGGTCGCGACAACCACTCCTTCCGCCGGAGGCCCACATGCCTCGGATAGCAGCAAAATTAGAGAATCACAACCTACCAGCGATGGCCTCCCACCTGACCTGAAGATGTCTCTTCTCTTTTCTCTTCCTTTCTCTTTTCCTTTCATTTGTTCTTCGTTTTCTTTAAACGATAACATTCCTTTTTTTCATGTTTTTTCCTCTTTCTCTTTCCTCTACTCTTCTCTTCATATTCTTCAACTTCTCTTCCTCTCCCAGGTGCTGGCATTCCATGTGGAGCAGATGCCGACGGCGCAGGCGCGTGGGGCCCAGCAGCTCGCCGCTCAGCGGGCAGAACTCCGCCTCTGCCAACAGGTGCACCGCCAAGGCCTCCGAGAAACCGTGGGCGCCGGTGGGTGCATTTACTTATCTTTGGTTCAAATTGTCACAGTTTATATATATACTGAGTTTTTTTTATATGTTCTGATAATTTTTCAGAATTAGTTTATTTTTTGGACGAGCCAAAAACAAACAAACAGAAACAACACAAATGTCGAAGGATGGACGCAAAAACAGTACATGTTGAACAAGGTGGAGGGTAGGATGGGGAGTTACGCGAGTGAGACTCAACAATTTAGTCCCGAAATGGACTCGTGTGCTTTTTCTTCTTGTTGTTCGTCTCTCATGTTGAGGCCACGTGCCTACCCTCCTCCGCAAAGAAACGAAGCTTTTGATATCTTTTGATCCAAGCTGCTGAAACGGTGAAGAGATTGGCCGGGAAAGTTCCCTCGTGAGGAACGTGTGCCTGGAAATGTGCATCATTTGCCGTGCCGAGTTTGCACAGTTTCCAAAGTTCTTCAAAGACTTAAGTTCTGTGGAAGGTGAAACAGCGACGTTTGCACTTACAAGTCTTTCTTTATGTTTACCAAGGCGGATTTGTGGAGGCCATCGCTAGTAGAGGCCATTGAGAGGCCTTTTATATCCTTTGATCAACTGGAACTGTTCTCATTTGATCTTGACAAGTAGAAACAATAAGCTACTAGGAACAAGTGCATCGCTACTAGTAACAAGTGCCTTATTATTAGAAGGAAGGACGCTACTAGGAACAAGTGCATCGCTACTAGTAACATCGCTTGAGTCTCGTTGAAAAGATCAAATCGGCGCAGTGGCTCCGATCCGTCTTACCGTCGACAGCTTCCAACCTCCACTGGCACGTACAAATCGACCATGTAAGGACCTGACGGACGTCATGAAATGACGGAAACAAAACGAGTAGTAGCAAGGGACGCTACGTTCGGGGCTCCTGGCATTGCTACTAGGAGCAAGGGACGCTACTAGGGGCTCCTGGCATCGCTACTAGGAACAAGAAGCTACTGGATTCAGAACCAAAGCCTTTTCTTTCTTTAAAGAGAAAGAGGAGGGGTAACTAAGCGGCTTTTGGAGGTAGGCTTAAGTGGTAGCGAAGTCAGGTTTAGGAAGCAGAAGTCGTACTTACTAAGCGAACAAGAAGCGACTATCAGTATCTTGGGCGCAGGCTGAAGCTAGGGCTCAAGCTTCTTCAAGGAAGCTCCTTCACCCCCGACTGAGCGGGGAGGAGCTTCTTTGAAGAAGCCTGAGCCTTAATGATTCCTAGTGGCTTCTTGCTCCTAGTACTACGGCCAGGAGCTACTAGGCTCTTGTGAAACGACGATAGTCTGCAGTTTTCAAGCGAAATTCCTAAAAGCCTCACTTCAGGATGCTAGTAGTAACAGGTGCCACGCTAGTAGTAACAGCACTTCAGGATGCCTTTTCGCGGTCAAAGTCCGGTTTGTCCCGCCGGTGTCCACGCCGCACCGATGGTGTCGTGTCAAACACGTCGATGCTCGTCTAAAGACCCGAGTCGGAAGAAAGGTCGAAAGAAGTCCGCTCTCAGGTTGGAGGCCCTTTTTGGACAAAGAAAACATGTAGAAAAAAATGGAAGACAATAGGCTAAGGACTTCTAAGACTTCTAAAAAGCCAAACGAGTCGAAGGAAAGGTGTTGAAAATTGATCAGGTCTTAGCGCATGCCCCGCCTTTGCGGCGACGTCTTGCTTTCAACGATAAAGCAGCAGCGCAGGTTTGCAGCTCGCGATGGTATGGTCTTGGCGGCCTAACTGGGAGCGAGAAACCAGCTCCCCCCCGTCGATTGCGAGCGAAAGAAGACAAAAGAGCTCTTGAAACGCATGCACATAGTGACATAGTGTCGCGTGGAGTGCCCTGCACTTGCAATCTTCCTATGAGCTTGTAGGGAAGACAAGTCAACAACAATGGGAACATCTTCCAAGTTGCGCATCAACCGGTGCGTGATGTATTCGGCTTAACCTCAGGGAGAAACTCATGGATGATAGACAAGCGACAAGAGACCAGCAAGTTTGCTCAGAAACAGCAGAGGTCAGTTGTTCCTAGTAGCTTATTGCTTCTACTAGCTTCTTGTTACTACTAGTAAGGCACTTGTTACTAGAAGCGATGCACTTGTTACTACTAGCTTCTTGTTACTAGAAACAGCAGAGGTCAGTTGTGTAGAAAATCTTGAAAAGGTGACAGCCAACCTGTCCAGTCTGCAATCCCAGGGACAATGGTTCCCAAGCTGGCGAAACGCCTTCCAGCATATGCTTCCGCTCCAACATAACCTTTGAACGAGAACTGCTTCCGCCAACAGATTAAGACATGGCAGATTCAGAACATGTTGGAAGAGAAACAACAAAGACTTCAGCTTGGAAAGGCGCGTCTTCTCTTGTGTTCTTCCTGCTTTGACAGCTCGTAGAAAGCCCCTAGTAGCGTCCTTGCTCCTAGCAGCAAGGCCAGGAACCCTGAACGTAGCTTCTTGTTGTTGCATGTGTCTTTTTCTACGCATTACACACCTGGAAGCGTTCATTTCTACTCCTTGCTAAGAAGACAGCGCTTTATAGCGTGGTAGCCTTTCCCGTCCGCAAGGTCGGTCGGATGCGTGAGGCGAGGTGGGTTAACTCCCGCTCCATCACCCTGCGGGTTCCCTCCGGATTCCCGGTTTCTAGGTCCGTGCAGTTGATGGTGTCTGCGGCAGTGGTATGAGTCCAGGAATGATGTTACTTGCAGGATTGGGATGTGATGTACCAAGGACTGGTCAAGTTGTGGTTGGGCTGCGACTTCCAGCAGTTGCTTGCGAGCGAGGTCACTGGTCTGCAGTAAGTAGAGGGGCTGACGAGCAGCCGAGAAAAGCACACGAGACATCATTTGCTGACGCTGGCGGCCGCCGATGGACCCATGTCGAATGTATTCCTCAGTGTGTCGAATGGCTGGGGACCAGGGGAACAAAGATGCTACTAGGGGCTCCTGGCCTTACTACTAGGAGCAAGGACGCTACTAGGAACAAGTGCATCGCTACTAGTAACAAGTGCCTTACTAGTAGTAACAAGAAGCTACTAGGGGCTCCTGGCCTTACTAGGAGCAAGGACGCTACTAGGTGGAGGCCATCGCTAGTAGGTTGGAGGCATCAGGATCCCTATCATTTGCTATTGAATCAAGTCACCAATTCTGCTGCTTCGGGCTTGTGACAGAATATGAGTTCTGCCAGAATACTCATATTCAATCAAAGACAACCAAGAACAGTCTTACGGTCTGAACAAGAATGAACACGAGCTATGTTGCCACAAAGAACTAAAGCTGCAAAGACGTGAGCAGAGATGCTTCCATTGCAGCAAAGAAGACGTCTTCGCGCAGGCACCCTGACGGAAGCTTTTGATCATGTGACAGGGGCAAAGATGACAAAATCCAAAGAAAAACAAGCAGCAAGAACGGGGTTCTGAAGAGGAAGGGACAGGTAGAAATAGATCCAAAGAAAGGTCAACAAAAAGCAAAGGCACGAAGAAAAAGGCAGGTCCAAGGAAAGACGAAAAGAACAACCACAAAAATGACCAAGTAGGCTGGATCTTCAGTCTACGGATATCGGCCTGCTAAGGTGAAGCCGTCCAGAAGACACGCCAAGAGCTTTGGAGTGAATCCAGCCATTGAGACCAATGCAGCATCAGAGAAAGCTCCTGCTAATGCCTTCTCACCTCAAACAAACTTTACGGCCTTCCACATGCCCTCTCCAACATCACCTACGAGCGATTTCCTCCAACCTAGCTCCTGCGAATGCCCTTAAACATCGCAATTACCTTTCGCCACAAACTCTCAAACAAACAGGTATGTAGATTCAGTAAGCAACGCGATTAGAAGAAATTGCAAGAAGCTATTAGAAACAAGTGCCTTACTAGTAGTAACAGGTGCCTTACTAGTAGTAACAAAAAGCTAGTAGAAACAAGTGCATCGCTAGTAGTAACAAGTGCCTTACTAGTAGTAACAAGAAGCTAGTAGAAACAA